TCACTTGCGTGCGAGCTTTGGCCCAGATGTTAATCAAATCCAAAATACTGAGTTCTAAATCTCAGCTTAAATTGTACTTAAATATTTGATTATAACTAAGTATTTTATTTTCATTTAGACTTATTTTTTAGGGAGTTTTCACATAGGGATAACCTCTTAACTTCCTTTTCTGGAAGCATATTTTCCCTTTCCTCTTAGTGTATATATAGTCTGCTTCTGGAATAAATAATGTGTGTATGTATGTATGTATGTATGTTTAGTTTTCGAGTTTAGTTCGCAACAACCAGTTAAAGAAGAGTGTCGATACACGCCGACCGCTGAAGTTTGGAGTTATTTGCTGGAGTTATCATTAAGTTCACCAGTTTGGGGAGCGAGGAACATCTGAAATCTCACATAAAGCCAAGGTGCGCCGAAGGTAAGCTGTATTTATGACGAAATCTGTTCCAGTGGTTCGATTTTAGTGTAGGTGAAAAAATCGCGAATGCTCGTACATGTGCTGATTCAAACGGTCACAACTTTTGAAAAACCGAAAACGTACAGGGGTTTTTGCATTTTTTTGCCTATAAAGGTCTAAACTTAACGGCTGTGTAGGATAGAGTTGTCAACCAGGTCCCAAATCCCAAAACTGAACGTCTAAATCAAGGTTATTTTCGGCCATCGTCCGATGGAGATTTATAGGGGTCAGAATATGCTAAAATTTGCCTTTTCAGATATATTGAGAGGGCAAATTCTAACTTTCTTGGAAAAGTAGAAAGGTTTTTAAGCAATCTGATATAAATTCGGTGGCTTAACTATGCGAATCAAATATTTTACAAAGTTACAAAATATGCCTATTTTTTCAATTTTCGAGACGTTGCGATGGTCCTGACTGGGAAACAATTATGGCCTCTAACGCAGTCAGAAAATTATTTCGAAACAAACCAAACCTAATTTAGTTCTTTCCTAAGTAAAGTCTTTCTGTTGACAGAGTTTCAGGCAAAATTATTTTTGACACAAATTGACCGGGTGGAAATAAGAGAGACAGCCTCTACGCGAAAAATGTAACTAGCGCGCGTTTGACTAGATAAAAAAATAATAATAATAATAATATTGATAAAATAAAAGACCAAGGAACAACATAATTAAAAGGAAAGAGACAATTCTAAATGCTTCAATTGCGAATTAAGAATGGATTTTTCCCACTTAATATGCTACGCCTCTTTGATCTTAATTTGGTATTTTGAAGCGGCAGAATCTAAGATCGTGAAACGTTCAATATCACAAGAGTTAAGACAGGCCCTTGATGATTGCAGGTGCCTGTAAATATGCGAAGTTTTGTCCGGTAAGAGGTGCTCACGAACACGTGTACAAATGTGATAACGATAATACATTAATGATAACGATCCTACATTACAAAGGGAGGGTAAATTACAACGTTTGTTTAGAGCGCTTAAAAATAAGGGACACTTAGACAAAGATACCTATGAGAGAATCTATCCAGTTGGTTCTCAACCAACCAGGTTTTATGGGCTACCTAAAGAGTAGCCTAATGAAACACCTCCTTTTCGACCCGTAGTATCTTCAATAGGTACCTACAATTACAATTTATCTAAGTTCCTTTGTAATCTTCTAGAGCCACATGTCCCGCGTGAATACAATGTCCGCGAAACGTTTTCTTTTGTACATGAAATCAACCAGATATCAACCTCGGGGAAGTTCATGGTATCTTTCGGTGTTGAGAGTTTGAATGCATTGATCTGGCGATCAGATACATTTATCAAGGTAACCCTGGTCTTAAGATAAACGCCGCTGACCTAAAAACGCTTTTTACCTTCGCAACAGCTGAGACTGCTTTCTTGTTTATAATTAAGGGTGTGTTTTATGATCAAATAGATGGGGTTGCCATAGGGTCCCCACTTGCTCCAGTACTTGCAAACCTCTTTGTGGGACATCATGAAAAAAACTGGCTAGATAACTATTCATCCTCTGAAGTTCTGTTCTACAGACGCTATGTTGATGACACCTTTTGTTTGTTCAATAGCGAGGAGAAAGCGCTCGTGTTCTTTGATTATAACAACGCCATGCACCCTAGTATTCGTTTCACAATGGAAAGGGAAATTGATAAGAAATTATCGTTTCTAGACATATTGTTAGACAACAGTCATACATCCATCGTCACTAGTGTATATCGCAAGAAGAAGTTTACTGGTCTTACTATTTATTTCAGCTTCGCCCTTTTGATTTACAAATTAGGTTTAGTCAGAACATTGATTGACAGAGTATGTAAGATCAATAATTCCTGGGTTGGTTTTCATCTGGATGTCAAGAAACTCATTTTCCCCAAACGCAGCCCCAAAAAGTTTCTTTAGAAACTATCAGCCTTTATTCGAACTTCAAGTTTTCTTGCTACGAAAAAATTGTTTTCTATCTTGGGTCATAGACAAGATCATTTACAGGTATCTAACTAAAAAAAATAATCCTTCTCCTACTGGGCAGAACGCCTCTTCTAACTCTGGTAAACCTTCTTCGCACTATTATAAACTTCCCTATGTTGGTCGGTTTTCAAACATCGCTCAGACTAAGTTAAGACAACTACTCAAACGTTATTGTAGAGCTGATTTAGATGTTAAGGTAGTCTTCAGTACGGTTAAACTCAGAAACATGTTCAGTGTGAAAGATACAGTACCGCTTGGTCTACGTTCGCGTGTCGTTTTTAAATTTTCGTGTGCTGGCTGTAATGTCAGTTATATTGGTGAGACCACTCGCCACATTTGTACACGAGTTCTTAAGCACCTCTTGTCGGACAAAACTTCGCATATTTACAAGCACCTACAAACATCAAGGGCCTCTCTTGACTCTTATGATACTGAATGTTTCACGATCTTAGATTCTGCCGCTTCAAAAGACCAAATTAAGATCAAAGAGGCAGTGGAAAAAACCCATTCTTAATCGGCAATTGAAAAGTGACGTCAGCCTTGTAACCTCGCAACGCAAAACCAAGGGTGGTCTTTAGGATATTGTGGGTTTGTAAAGAAATAGGCTAAGATCGACGCGATACGAAGCGTGTGACGACTAGAATAAAGATAGGAAAAGAAAACTACGCGAGTGACTAGTGTTGCTATACTGGGATTTCCAAGAGCATCTAGAATTGTCTCTTTCCTTTTAATTATGTTTTTCCTTGGTCTTTTATTTTATCATTATTTTCTTTTTTTAATTTTTTTTTTTATCTAGTCAAGCGCGCGCTATTTACATTTTTCGCGTATTTAATATTCAAATTGTAACGTAATCCCTGACACGTAATTTGTAACGTACCGTAATATAAATTCAAATGTACAACCGTTAAAAGCTCATTTGCAACTGAAGATGACATGAGAATGTGGAAACATGTCTTGTAAATTTAAACTCAAAGTTGTCGTTTCTTTTTTGACAATTCCGATCCTTGTAGCAAAAGCGACTAAGATGAAAGGAAAACTTTATTTCATTAAACGCTTAGCATGTCAAATTTAATGTCCCCGGGAAACAAGGTCTAACCGTCTTATCGGTTCCCATTGATGCCGCGAGTCTAACTCTAACCCTCCGGCCACTGGAGGGTGTAGAGTCCGTAAACACTTGATAAATTATTGAAGATATTTTAAAAAATGGATTGAGAGAGTTTTTGCAATAATCAGAGACTCACTAAACCTCTGTGGAACTCTTTATTCACTAAAATTCCATAAAACTAGCCTTAATTCTGTGATAAGATTGCGTTTTGAACTAAACCTTTGAGAGTCATTGCTAGAGATCAACTGGCTTTTTTCTAATACTTACTGCTAATCATAGTCCCTCACTGGGACGTCACGGTAGTGTCAACTGCAAAGATTAAGACCACGAAGAACTTTGAACTAAATTACAAATTCACTCCTCTAACCTCACTGAATGACCAAAGTTTCCTGAATGACTATTTTATCATAGAACTGTGACTTTACTGTGGCGTGAGTTTAAAAAAAAAAACTCCAAAGAAGCCGAAGTAGGTGAATTTAAAAGCTATGATTACCCGATATAATGCAAATTAGAAACAATGCAATCTGAAAAAAGGTGAACTGTTTCAGACTGTTAGATACACTTATCCTCACTTACCTATATTAATCTTTTATCCTTTGAGTTTTTTTATCCTGCGGTGCTAATACCTCCCGACCGATCAAAGTCTGTGCAAACAAACGACAAGCTGGTAATCCAAAGCAAACTTTTTGAAAATGCAAATGAAAGATCTTATTTTGCCTATCGTAAGAGAGCAGCCCTTAATTTTCACTTACAAAAGGGCTCTGTTTGACTTTCATAAAAATAGGATATAAAATGCTTTTTTTGATTGGTTCGTTGACCATACCAGGTGACAGCCAAGGTAAAAATGGTGATTTATATCACCTCGCCATGGAACAAAATTAGCAAGAGAAAAATGGGGCATACTTGTGCTAGTAAATAAACCAACAAACTATTTACTGTTTACACTGAAGATTATGCATTCTGAAGAAGTACTTAACGAAGTTTCTACTCTGTTCCTGACTTGCTTACATTAAAGTAACACAAAGCGCGGTGTAAATTTTTATTGTCAACCTTGAAATATTAAAAAACAAAAACAAAAACAAAAAAAACAAGTGATTCTCACTATTTATTGAGCGGCAGGTGTTCATGTTGGGACAACTGGTAGCCTGTATGTACAGTTCAACGACGGTGTATTTAGACTGGCCTGTTTTAATTAGTTCTGAGATAATTGAACTATCTACTGGCCTATCTAACTAAAGAAAATGGCTATAATTCTGCACAAGATGTATTTCAGCTAAGATTTGATGCCATTTTTCTCAAATTTAGAGAAGATTTTGCAAAATCCTTCTGTCTCCTTCAATCAAAATATGCCGATTCGCTCAAAGGGAAATACGAGTCAAAAAGAGAAAGAAGTCAGGACATCAGAGCATTCAGAGTTTTACAAAACAATAATTATACCAGCAGGAGTGAATGTCGTGTAGTCTTATAAAAATACAGCACTCAATTCAAACCTTTTTAAATTTTTTTAAAAAAGCAAAAACTGACGCCAGCTTAAAATTTTCAGTAACACCATTTTACCCCTTATTATTGCAAAGAATTGTCGCCTTAAAAAAAAAAAAAAGAAAGAAAGAAAGAAAGAAAGAAGAAAAACTTTACATCATCTAACACATCTCCGTTTTCGGTCAGCTATCCCTTAAATCATACATCTTCATGCGTATATACTCATGTGCAAACGCAAACCGAATAAAACGAACTAGCTCTAAAAGGGGGAGGGCTATACCCGCTATTAAAAAATATAAAAATATCTCACAAAAGAACGCACTTTATTCGAGGGGCACAAAGGGAACCTCTCAGCTGATTTCAGAGCACAGACAACTACTGATTACAATCGAGAAACTTATGAAAATAAGGGCATTTGTCGGTCTTTAGGGGAAAATTATTGCACAAAACCACGTAAGAATGCAACAAACTGAAGCAGCCGATAACATCGAGCTACCACCAAACAGGTCAGTAAACCAGTTTCCCGAGTCATCTGGAGCGCTGTCTTCTCCAAGTTCCTTTCGAAAAGGTGAATGTCTAATGAGCTCCTTGTTGCACAAGTCGCTTTGACACCACTTTACGCATGTAGTTCCATGACATCCCGCTGGTTTGTGCCAGTCGCGACCGCAGCCCATGTTCTTCATTCTTCCTTGGTATTCAAAGAAGCAAGCGTTTTCATATTTTTTACACTCCTGGGGCGAGTGTGCGATACAAGCGGATATATACTGCCGCTCATTAGGTGGACAAACGTGGCAGCGAAGAAAGAGACCTGAAAGTAAAATGATGCGAAGTATAGGGGTAGCTCCACCAAGATGGAATTGAAAACATCAAACAAGGGCACATTTTATTTAACAATTGGTGCATGCTTGAGCGTGCATTATCGAGTTATGGAGCACGTGGGAAGTTTGGAGAGCACGAAAGAAGCGTAAGAGTTGTCCGAGGCAATAGCCGAGGGAAACTCTAGCTTCTTGAGTGCTCTCCAAACTTCCCACCTGCTCCATAACTCGATAGTGCACAGCTAAAAGCATGAACCAATTGTTTTATAACATATGAATAAAGGCTGATAGTTTCTAAAGAAACTGTTTGGGGCTGCGTCGGTGGGGGTAAAGAAATAATTTGGATATATCAACGAAGTTGAAATGGTAAATTGGGGTTCTGTCCTCGTGTACCGGTTCACGAGAGCCAATACAAAAGACCAAACAATACACAATAGCTAACCGATAACTCCTAAACAAAGAAAGAACAATGGTAATTCCCTTGTGAACCGGTACACCAGGACAGAACCTAAATTGGCCACCGTAACGATTACAAAAGCTGACGTTTTGAGCGTTAGCCCTTCGTCGGAGCGAATTAGCCGGTAGAATTGTGCATCAAATCCGACGCGAAAAACGGACAACAATATCAGAAGTGATTGTTCGCGGTAAGGGAAATATTAAGCAAAGTAGGAATTGGTTCTCCGTTGTTTTTCTCTTTTTCTGCCTCATTTAAGAACTCTAGCCCAAGGGAAAAGGTCGGAAAATTGTCTACGTTTTGGGACTGGTTGGCCGAGTCTCTCAATGGTTGATATCCATTATTATTGTCGCGAAATATATTATTTTCCCCGCGCTAACAATGGCCGTTCGCGCGAAAAAAAAACTTTCTGGTGAAGCGATTTGCTCACGCTATCAGCGTGCACTATCGGAATTTTGAGCACGCTTACATATACTGAATTTGATTGCGCGGCTCTGCTAGCTATGTTAAAGAAGATGCAGTTATAAGTTTCCCTTTTACTGACTTCGGAGCAGAATGACTAATGCACGCTGCTACTTCTGGTCCCCATGAACAACCGTATAGTGAACAGGAAGTCAATAAAGGTTCATTACAACTGATTAGACTGGCAAAGGTTGATAACTTACCATACAGGTGCTTAAGGCTGAAAGTTTTTCCTTCAATTTAAAACTTTGTTTCCTTACCTGGGAATTTCATAACCTCTCTTCGTTTTGGGGAAAACAAGTAGGTTAACGTTCGCTGACATTTCTGCTAAAACTAGACAGGTAAATGCTAACAACCCTACTAAGAAATAAGTAAACTTCCAGGATTGCACTTCTTACCTGGTAATATTAACACTGACAAGCATATTAAGAAAAATAGTTTGCCCATTGTTTCCTTTTCTTTATCACGATATTATGATTTAAAATTTACGTCACAAAAGGTGTTTAGATGAGCACCAGCTCGTGCGCGCCAAGTTCTGCGGAGAGGCGACTCAAAATAACGAAAAATAAGAAATCACAATATCTGTATTGAAAACTAGATTTTCTGTTCTTTTTTTAAGTTAGTGAAAATTTTAGTATTTACTAGCTTACTTTAGGTTTATGATAGATTATATTTAAAGTTGAGGCGCAGCCAGGATGAGACACATTAAAATACAGTGAAAGCGTTCTCCGGCCAAACGTTTTAGAAAACATAAGCTTTTATCCGTGGAAGGCTATAGATCGACAGCCGAAAGCTTATGTTTTCTAAAACTTTTGGCCAGAAAACGCTTTCACTGTATTTAAGATTATTTTTAGTTTCCAAATCTTTGTAGTTTTTATATATTATCCTTAACTATCTTTTCTTAATTGTATTTGGCCTGAAAAGCCCCTTTGGAGAGACTAGGAAGAGTCCAATAAAGGGTTTGTAAGTTTGTAAATATTGCTAATTAAAATGGAACGTAAGTCTCGCCAAAAATAAGAAATATTTACATAGAAGAGGTTTTTTTTGAAAGAGCTCGAGTGTAAAGACTGGATCTTCTTTTCCATAAGTATCTTACTCAAGAACAACGTTTTCTCAAGACTCATAGCCGGGGTTTAACTAACTGAAAACAACTCCTCTCTCTTTCTTTTTTCTTTCACAGTATACTTTCCGTTTACTCGATTGCGCGATACAGCGAATGACTCGGGTCTTAAAAATAACTGAGGAGAATGTGCTGCCTTTGCTATGACATCTACAAATTGTTAGACATTCTAGTCTTCTCGGATAAGGAAGAAAAACCGTAGGCCCCGTAACACACGACCCTAGTTTCTGCAGCTACGTGCTTCATAGTCCAATGTTTTATTTTTGCTTTTTATCTCAGTGGCCGGCCTCATTTTGAATTAATTAGCGTTATTCTGCACGCGAGAAACATGTTTCTGAACTAGCAACATTCCGCTTACATTTGGTTCACGGTTCGGTTGTAGACTTATAATTAAACAAAGATCTCTTACGCAAAGTATTTTAACGAAGTGGGAATAGGGAAAACCCTGAGATACGCTTTGTAAACAATCATTATCAGGAGGTGTTGACTATCCTGCCAAGTTCTATTGCTATTGAGGGAGCAATGCAACAATTTTAGGACTGCAATCCACTTTAATTTTGTGATACAGCAATATGGCCGGTAAGATGATATTATGTTAAATAAGCTGTAGATTGAATGTAAAATGCGAAACAATTGAGTTTGTGTGTGAATGTGAACATTTTCGAACAACTGATGGCACCGTCAAATCAGCTCATTTTATCCAACTTTAAAATTTTATTAAATCGCACTGAATCATTTCCCCAAAAAAATCCTTTAGAAATCGAAAAGAACCACACTTCACTTCCAAAAGCCAGAATTTCAGTCGATTATTTTGTATAGCACATAGTTAAATTACGGGTTACTTTTTACCTATTTTTAATCTTGTTAGAAGAAGGTCGGTTAAATTCAATTCGATTGTGTAAATATACGATCAAGAATAGCTCAAATTGCTGTCAACATATGTATTGATATTGTTTTTCAAGATTTGGTAATTTTTGTCGGTCCAAGTGTTTTCAATTCGTGGCGCGACGCTCCGAGATTTGTCTGAAATTTTGAGCTTCAAAAGCGGCATTTGGTCGAAATTCAGTTATTATCGATTTTTTCGAAAATAAATCGATATTCAGCCAAACGAAGTATGCAGTGCTTTGTTTCACCATAAGTCCTACCTGACTTGAGAATATGAGCCGAATCGATCTTTTGGCTGTTGCCACCAAATGTTTGACCGTTGGTAATGTTCGCTCTTAAGTTTTGCCTTCAGAGTTTCCGCTCTCAGACCGCGCAAATCTTGGTGATTTAATTTGTCGTTGTTCTTTTGCAGAGGGCAGCTAAGAAATTATAAATAGAAGATATTACATGGCCGCGCGGGTACGTAATTAAGAGAAGTTAACACCTATTTGTTGGGTTTTATTGTTGTATCTAAAGCGTAACTACAGTGTAGTTCTTTGTGTACGGAAATACTTCTTACACAGTGAAATACTACTCGCAAATGGAAATTTCCAATCATGATGTACGTGAACTGCTGAAAAATATGTACAGCTTATGGGGCTTGGGCCTCTCTCGAGACGCTGCTACTTAAACTGTAAAATACCTTCAAACCGAATTTTGTGATGTTTCGGTCTGACAAATATATTGAGGGTTAAAGAACTTTATACCAGCTTAAGTTACCGTCCTAAACATAAATCCCGCCTTACAAACTACAGTAATTCAGAATTAAG